CTGAGTCCAAACCAAATCCACACAATGGATAATAATGTGTGAAAGTGAAACCTGACTATGGATTTGACCCAAGCAAACTTTTTGCCATTTGTTACTTGAAATGCCAGATTTTATGTGTGTATTTAGTTGGGTTTTATTCGATCCAAATTGACAGCCTAAAAAGTTTCCCATGAAGCAGCTCTACTCTGAGACAATGTATCATCCTATAATGATGCAGCATCTCTCCTGGTCCTCCAAAAACCACATCTAATTATATTAACATCCTCTTCTGCCGTCCAGCTTTCAGCTAACTGAATTGTCCTGGTCGGTCTAAATAAAGACCTCAGAGTAAGGCTAGGTTGAATGTCAGGCATCTTGTCCCTTTATGGAAACAGAACTTGCTTAAAAAATACTATAAATGACACTACATTCACTCACGCTAATGTAGTCTGCATCTGCTGGGGTTGCAGAGCTGTAATGTTCTCACTGAGGTCTATTAGGAATTTGTTGTTATCATTCAGAAGTTAATGTACTATACAGTTGCTGGCTGGTAATCTGCATAATGCACAGACCTATTTAGCTTTGGCACAACCCTGAGCTCCACACACTTGTGCATTATGCATGAAAGTAGTTGGAAAGATGATTTGTAGCCTGTAGGCAAATTAGACGAAGAGATCTTGGTTGTTTGTTAGAGTTAACAGTGTCGTAGTGTTGCAATATTATATTGTTTTAGAAATGACTAACTCAGAATGGCACTGATGTTTTTTTATTTGCAGTATACAGCACAGTAAAACACTGTACAAGTTAAGTAGAAGCCATGCTGTATCTCAAGATGCAAAATGATGCAGTTCCCAGCCAGGTGTCTAAATGCATTTTCACATCCTGATGCTTTTCCGTGTGTGTATGTGTGTGTGCAGCCCCGACAGACTGTGCTGACAGCAGCAGGCAGCATCGGCCAGGCCAGTGGAGACCTTCTGCGCCAGATTGGAGAGAGCGAGACAGACGAGAGGTTCCAGGTAACGCTGCACCCCTTCCATTTATCATCAACACCACACTCTGAATGCTGTTCAAAGAAAACTCAGTCCTGAGGAGCTTCCACTCAGTTAATCAAAACCACACTGTAACCAGGGGAATATGGAGGGAATATTTTAGCTAGATGTTTTTGTTTCAAGTGAATGCTATTCTAGGTGTTAAGCTTGTGTTATTCTTTCATGTAGCTCATACTTGGCTGAACCATGATTGTTATTGTAAGACAATGTTTGTCGAGGTTATACAGCGAGCAAAGCAACACAACTTTTCTCCAGCCTGCCTGTCAGTATTTTACAGTCATTCCGTCATGTTGACTTATACAGATGTCCAGTTGGCAAATGTGTTTTTTTTTTTAATTAGATGAGATTGTCGATGATACCCTTAAAGGCCCACTTTGTAACATTAAGAAGGCTCTATTTGCATAAATGTAATCTAATATTCAAAGGTATGAATATAGGGTACCTGAGTATTGGAATCACCACGGGTCGGAACAAACCAAGTACTGGCTAGCTAGGGGCGTTTGCGTTTTATTGCATGTTTCGCTGCCACCGTAGTTTCTGCTAGTAAAGCGAGGCAGTTGCTATCTACAACTTCACCACTAGATACCAATAATTCCTACACACTGGACCCTTAAATTAGATTTCTATGGTTAAGTATATGTTTTAGAACTGTTAGAGAGCTGTATTTATTGATAATTTGACCTCATCTGCGTTTTCAAATGCCACAATATTGTTCATCATTGTTCAAGAGAATGAGATAAAATATTGTGCATCTCTGACACCCATTATTGTTGGTGTTGTTGTTGTAGGATATCCTGATGAATTTGGCTAAAGCAGTGGCCAATGCTGCCGCCATGTTGGTGCTGAAGGCCAAGAATGTGGCCCAGGTTGCAGAGGACCCCGTGCTTCAGAACCGAGTCATTGCTGCTGCCACCCAGTGTGCCCTGTCCACCTCCCAGTTGGTAGCATGTGCCAAGGTACAAAAATATGTTTGTAATACATTCAAATGATCTGTAGAAATCTCTCAAAAAAAAAAACAAACCCTAGCAGTGCTGAACATTCACCACAGCAACCAAGCATGAAATATGGGACTCATTGTACTAAATGACTCACTCACATCACATCAGTGTTTGTATAATATGCACTCAATTCCCAAAAACTAAATTCAGTGGATATTATGCAAATCCTTGGAAATGATGCGCTGGTGGTGTAATGTTTCTCCATTTATTATGTCAGTTCTGTCTCGGATTTGAATATTACACTTGGTGTAAGGATATCACTTGGGAAGCTATTATTAAAGCTATTTGATTGAATGAACGACAACTTTGCTTTCTCATGAGTAGACTGCACAGTGGGGTTTGGTAAAGTAAAGAGTTTTTTCTACAAATATTTAAATAACCTGTAATTTTTTTTGCAGCTAAATAAGTATTTTTGGATGCACCAAGGCAATGTTAAATACCCAGTGCCCTCATCATATTTGCACATCTTTAATTGTACAACCCACATGCCTCTAATTAGTTTAAATGCCCTCCTAGCTCCCAATCTGAATAGTTGCATTTACTGAACAAAGCCTCACCTCTCTGCATGGCAGCGTGATGAGAACCATCTGCTGAATCCCTTTCAAATCATTTTTTTCCTCTCCTTTTTCTGTGTCCTCTGTTCTCTGTGGAATGTAATTTGTAATTTAATGACGAAAACAGTGTTTTAGCAGTGTGTTTATTCCAATGTAAAATATGTTATAAGAAATTAGATGGAAATTACTTTGGACAGTTTTTAATGCTCTAATTCTCACTTTAGATAAAACCATCGTTTAGACTTTTAAACTGGAGAAAAATGTTTGACATTCCACATATTGCTGACTTAATAGCAGTGTCTCCTCTTCACATTGGAGATTGTTTTACATTGTCTCATTGTTATTGTTATTGTTGTTGTTGTAGGTGGTAAGTCCCACCATCAGTTCACCGGTTTGCCAGGAGCAGTTAATTGAAGCCGGGAAGCTGGTGGACCGCTCGGTGGAAAGCTGCGTCCAGGCTTGCCTCTCAGCCACAGAAGATGGCGAGCTCCTCAAACAGGTCAGCTTGATTTATGACCAGCGGTGCACTGAACTCCATTGGTTCTATGTATCATTTTTAGTTTTGTCTCAGAAGATAACAAGGCATATCACAAGTTTAACCCAGAAAATACTTATTTAGAGAAGACTATTACTATATTAGAATACTGACCCTCAATCCAGCCGTTTTTTTATTGAGGGTATTTAGTTTGTATTAACACATGGCTTAAGGAGCAATGAAGATAATGAGTCCTGTGTGCTTCTCCCCACTCTGATGGAATAAGAAGCTGGGAATAATGCAGCTTAAAAAACACGGCACTAATGCTGATGATGTGCATCTCCTGTATTGAAGGTGAGTGCAGCCGCCAGCGTGGTGAGTCAGGCTCTGGGAGATCTCCTGCAACATGTTCGTCAGTACACCTCAAGGGGAGAGCCTATCGGGCGCTATGACCAGGCTACAGACACCATTATGACTGTCACTGAGAGTATCTTCAGCTCGATGGGAGACGCAGGTGAGTCCAAAAGAGATTAAAAGCTGAGAAAAATCAGATCAATTGTGCATCCAATTTGGCAAGAGCTAAAAAATAAAGAGAAAGGCTGAAATATGTTGAAATTAATGAACTTGTGTTTGTGATTAAGTACTTCTGGATGGTGCTTAGGTTAAAGAGCATGTTAATTAATTACCCTTTAAGTGAACATTTATTTTTGATTTGAAAAGCAATAATGATTTGAGTCATTAGCAGGAAAGTACAACCCACAGCCAGCAACTTTCACTGACGTGTTTATTAGCCATGTATGGCTCTAAGATGACCATGTCTGTCTTTAGTAGGTCAGTTCATCCCCAGACTGAAATATCAATTATTGGATGGATAGTCATGACATTTTTTATCATATATGCTCCCCAGAGGATGAAGCCTAATGACTTCTGTGATCCTCTTGCCTTTTTCTTTAGTGCCACCATGAGGCAGACAGCTTGAGTTTAGAGTGAAATGTGGCAATCTGGGCAAAAATAAAAGCAAACAAAGATACAAGCTAGCTGATTGTTGGTAAGAAGTTCTGTGGTTTTTATTTTGTTATCATCCAGTCCTATTGTGATTTTATTTTTATTTTTTTTCTTACCAAAACCTACAAGACCTGACAAAGGTTTGACCAAGCTCTGCCTGATACTCAACCAAAAACCAGCCTGCCCCATCATAGTTCTATATGCAACCCATCAAAGAGTTTCTGTATGACCACGGGTCAATTTTTGGTCCATTCATGCTTTAAAATTCGATCTCAAATGTGGCTAACTTTGACCTGGTTGGGCCAAATATCTTGCTTTAAAAACAAAAGCACATAAACTATATCTCATTTAAGCTTCAAACTTGATTTAAAAGTTCTAAAGTTTCTGCTTTCTGAGTAGATGTCTGACTGCGCATCATGCCTCATCCTAGCTTCTCCTTAGAGAGACTGGCATGATGGTGGGTTTGAATGGACCCCTGTCAGCTCTGGTGAAGCCACAGAGAAAAAAGCTGACAGTGATGTTAACAAGTCTGACAGCAGAGGAAGACAGATAGATTGAAAGACACACAAAGAGAAAGTCCCGGCCCAGCAGCCATCTTAGCCAGATTGATTGGCTTGATAGACAAGTAGAAGTGCTGTTTGCTCTGCTGAGGGCCTAAATACTTGAAATAGCTGGAGAACTCAGCCTTTGAACTGGTGTCAAATGTGTCAAGTGAGGTCAAACCTGGCATTCAGGTACAAATATCAAATGTGAAGAGACAAAAAAGAGAGTGAATCCCTCTGTAGTGCAGTGTTGGCAGATCAGCTGATACATTCACCTGAATTCTAGAGGCTTACCACCAGATAGCTTTGATGGTGCGCCAGGTCTGCTTTGACAGAGAGAATATAGACCCCAATCCATTTCTTATCTCTTTTGTCTTACCTCATTAGCCTGATGAACAGAGTATATTTTCAGAGGGAGTCAAAAACACCAGGCTGGTGGAATAGTTGCATCCAATTGTTTCACCTACAGGTGTTATCATTGTGTCATCAAAAAATCCAGCCACACTTAGCTAAGGGAAAGGTGTTTGTTTCTTGTATAGCTTGTTTTCTCCCACCAGGTGTTTTTCTTATGTTGCAGATGTTTACGCCATCAAACAGTCACTATCAGTAATTTTAAGAAGCAAACTTTAAATTTATCTTGCTGATACAAAATTAAATGGTATCAAATTAAAAATCAATGCAGTTTGTTGAAATATTTTACCTGCTCCACTAAGGTTTTCCAGCATTGCATTGCTTGCTTGCATCATCATCATCTCTAACTTGCACAAGAGAAAGCAGTCACCAAGCATAGTTTGACTATTATTGCAAGAAAGAAGTAAAGATGGATTTTATTTATATTTTTTGTCCACATTGTTCATGACTATAAACTCAGTTAAGTTAAAACAAGTTGATTCATCCATTAATGTTGTCACCTTTTTCTCCTCTGTCCTCTCTTATCACCCCTCAGGAGAGATGGTTCGTCAGGCTCGGGTGTTGGCTCAGGCCACCTCAGACCTGGTGAATGCCATGAGGTCGGATGCAGAGGCAGAGGTGGACGTTGACAATTCTAAGAAGTTGCTGGCAGCTGCTAAATTGCTGGCCGACGCCACCGCGAGGATGGTAGAGGCAGCGAAGGTGAGCAGCGTTGAGACATGAAGCATGCAATATTTATTCTGTTTATTTTCTCGTAATCTTGCATTTATATAATCAACTCAAACGGTGGGGCTGGTGTAAAAACAAGCTTTAGTCCATGCATAATTCATATAAAAAAAAAAGGTGAAAAGTTTTGGTTTTAATCAGCATAGTGGCATTTCTTAAGACCACATAAAAATCTACAGGGTAGCTGGCTTTTATTCTCTTGCACATACTGGGTGACCTTTTCAGTGACAGCAGAGGGGAAAGAAGCTGACACCCCAAGAGAAGTGATTCTCCTTAGTCTTGTTTGTAAAGTGTTATTTTATTAATAAAAGATGACCTTTAAAACTTTCTTCAATAAAAATGTATTGCACAGACAGATCTTTAATTTGAAAACATCCAAATCCCGAGGTTTTTTTCTGAAACTGCTTTTATGTTTTTTCCAAAAGTCACAACATCTGAAAACATGGTCAACATTCTTGCTAAGCTGTAAATCAGAGCAATTAATTAATTATGGAGTAGGACCCTGAAAAATTATTCCTTTTCAGTTTTTGGAATTATTTACTCTACATGTAGCAGCTGCAGGATGTGTCTCTGACACCTCTTTCAGACCACAACAGGGACCTCAAATAAACTGCACTTCATTTTTGTTTCTAATGTCATACAATTACTATTATGATTGCTACAATCCTTTACTAGATACTGAAGGCAACTAGCCACCAATTCTTCTCTCTTTAATCTCAAATATACATGAACAAAGTTGTAATTTCAAAGTTGTTGCATTTAATCTTTAATAAACTGACTAAATAAGAGAAATGCTGCTTTGCTGGCATATTTGCTTATTAAACTGGAATTCCCAGTCCTGTTTAGCAATGGCCAGGAATTGACCTATGAAGGGTTAGGATCAGAGAATAATTGGTCAAATAAGTAGAAAAATCATGAGGTTGACATTTTAAATATTATAATCCATACAGAGTTTAAATTCACCATCCAGTTCACACCTCAAGTTTTCAGCATAACATGATTAAGAGCACATCAGACTTTTTCTTCCCAGACTGCTGCAGGGCAGGCTTAGCTTTGCCATTCATCCCATCTTCCTCTGTCCAAACTATTTATCTGCCATCTCTCTACATCAGTCCCATTATCTGTCGACAGAATCACACACTGATATTAATAACTCTCCACTTCCACCATGGAAATTAAATGACGCCCTCCAGCTGGTTTGATGGTCGAGTTTGATGCCAGACTTATTGCCGTCACAGCTGTACATTTATCTGTGTCAATGGAGGCTGAGACCTCAGCCAGCTGTTGCCTTGGTAACTGATTGATTTGAGCTTGTGCAGTTTAGTTTTTGGACTGTATGTTTTACAGCTGACTGTGTTTATACTTATTTTTTAAAGCCCACGTCAGGTCATGATTTGCTTTAGCCAGACGCATATTGTACATGTATTGTATCACTGTAAAACAGACATTGCCTTTTTCACTGGAAATCAGCACTTTTTAATAATTATGCAAATTGGCTGTTAAATTTAAATTGTGTCAGCCAGCAGGTAGATGACAGCTGCAAACTCCACTGATTTGACACCAACATCATCATTTTACTGTGATTAATGCTCAGTCAAATGTTGTATGGAAGTCGCAAAAGGAAACAAAACATTTGAAACCTCTGAAATTACTTGAAGGCACTTGTATGCCTTGTTCATAGTGATATCTGTGTCTGTGGCAACTTCTGCCAGTGGCATTTGTGGGGTTAAACGTTACCTTAATGACTCAGGTTTTCAGCAGCACACACACACCTCTCTGTGCAGCTGCAGGTGAAGCCACCGAGTTCCCAGTTAATTAACCTAATGGCTGCAGGCTTAGCTTTCTCTCCAACAGCAGGAGACACGGAGGTGCTAAGTGATATTGGTCTCCACAGAACCCAGTTAACTTGTGCTGCTGGATTCATAAACGGGAAGATCGAAAGAGCTGCTTGCTGATATGAATAAACCACACTCTCATTGACATTTAGCCATCAACAAAAGAACTGATTGTTCAACTTGCTCAGCTGCAGCTGAGTTTGAGTGCAGTGATTTAAGTCTGTGTACACGATTGGATTTTCTAAGATTACTTGTATGTGCTGATGGCTGTTGTGTGGGTGTGTCTGCTGCTCGTCTCAGTACGTGTGATGTGATGAGTGCTGACTGTCACTCAGGAATGACAATGCTTTTCAATGAAAGAAAATTGTTATTTTAAAGATTGTAGAAAGTCAGGGGAATATTGTTAACAGATCATTCAGCCTTGTTTTTTTCTTCTTTATTTCTTCCCACTGTCATATTAGCTGTTTTCCCTTCCTGCTTAGCGGTTGTGTACTGTATTTGCTGATCTGTGTGTGTGTGTGTG